AGCCGGAAATGCTCTTGCTATTCTTAAAAATCATTGTTCCCCACCTTCGGTGTGGAGTTGTTAGATTTTAACCTCAACTCTTCTCCTCGCCCGGAACTCTTCTCCTCGCGCGGAAAACTACAATATTATAGACTTACAGGATGACATTTTTAAAAACATAAATACATATGTATGAATCATGTGTGTGTATCTGTATATACAGTATATACATGTGTGCTGGTCATGTCCGCATTTGAGAGGAAGAAGATGACGGCGCCCGCATGAGGAAGCTGAGCATGATCAAGACCGTGTCCCGGGAGGCGGCCTTGCAGCCAGCTCTCGAAGAGCATCATTGCGGCAGCCGAGAAGCTTGGGCTCAAGCTCACAAGTAGCGGCAGAAGATGCGATGGCCTTGTAGTCGGTTGTGCGATATGATGGGGGTTGTAGAGTATACTGTGCTATATAGGGTTTAGGGCTTTAGGGTTTGGGGTTTAGAGTACGGTGACGCCGGCTTGTGCCAAGGAGTCGGCCGTGGATGCCTTGCGTGCTTCGGCAAGCTGGCTCCGGGCAGACTTCAAGAGGTGCGCTGAGTTTAGGGTTTAGGGCTAGGGCCTAGCTAGGGTTTAGGGTTTCGGGCTAGGCTATAGGGTTTAGGGTTTAGGGTTTTGCACCGTTGTGGCCTTGAAGCCTTCTGCCTGCAAGCTGCTTTCCAGGCAGCTGAGCGAGATGGTCCAGGGACTCAACGACGTCAGCCGGGAGCAGCTAAGGAAGTTTGATGAGCAGCTCACTTTGGCCACTGTGGCAGAACTTAGGGTTGAGGCCCACGAAATCCCTTAAAGCGCAATCGAGGGGGGAGGCCGCAAGCAGAAAGGTACCGTACCCCTTCCAATTTCCTACGAAGTCGGATGCAGTTCTCTCCCCCGGCCACCCTCGCTTGAATCTTTCGAAGGTTCCTTCTACAGCCTTTGTTGATCTAGCAATCTGCGGCGACATGTGAGTGCAACATAGGGAGTTAGGTCCCTGGCCCACACAAGCCATGCTGTGCCCCGGAAAGGTCTGTGAGCGCAGGGTCTCCAACCCTTCAACCTGTCTCATTTTGTTTATCTCGTTGCGTCTCGGTCTCCCTGCCTCTCTCCCTCACCAGCTGTAGTTTCTCAGTTCCCCAACCCTAAACCCTGAAGCCTAAACCCTCAACCCCCTCACTCACCGGCCGTAGTTTCTCAGATCCACTCAAAGGACAGCTCCTTGCACCAGTTGCAGCCCGAGCCTGGCGCGGAGTATGGCAAGCACTTGGGCCTGCTGGTGGCTCCCATCAAAAGCAAGGACGGGCCGCAGGGTGTGGGAATTTGGAGCGTCCCAACCTTTGTTTGCTTTTCCTAAACCCTAAACCCCAAACCCCAAACCCTAAACCCAAATTCTCACTTTTGTTGCTCCCCCTGTCTGTTCAAGATGCCCTATTGCACCGTGCCGAGTGCCCAGGAGCGAGCCCTGGCAAAGATCCAGGGTGACTACGAGAAGGCATCTGCATGCACTCCCTAAACCTTAAACCCTGAACCCTGAACCCTAAACCCTGTTGTTGCTCCGGCTCTTCCTTCCTTCCTTCAAGGTTCCACAGCTGCTGCTGCTCCTACTGCTTTTTTTCATTGTTGTCGTGGAATTTCCTAGTATCTTTGTAAAGCCAGTGGCAAAGATTCTTGTCCAGTTTGCTGTCTTTCGACTTGGGATGGCCCCCAAGAGGACGACAAGAAGACAGAGCGGCCATCAGCACGACGCTTTCCTTCTGCTGGATGGAGAATTGAAACGTGCAGTTTTGTTTGGTTCGCTGAACTCCACTTGTTAGACGAAGAAGGGACGAAGATCCCTTTGAGCAGCGTGTGAGAAACCGGGATGTGGCCTCAGGAGGATCCCTAAACTTTAAAAACCCTAAACTCTAGACCCTGAACCAGGAACCGAAACCCTAAACCGAAACCCTAAGCCCAGCATCTCAGGATATGTTTGCGACTTCCTGCGCGCCACGATCTATGCGGCTGACCCCTTCGCGCTTGCCTTTGCATTTCAAGCCCTGGAGGCCGGCGATTCCGCTGCTGCATGGGCTATGGGGTTTGGGCTTGGGGTTTAGGGTTTGGGGCTAAACCCAAAACCCTAAACCCTTAACCCCATACACCTCACTGCACCAGGGCTTAAGCCCATCTACCGACGTGGACATAACAGCTACGCCCCAAAGAGCCGGACCAGCATGTGCAAAAAGGGCCCGAAAACCCCCCCAGCCTCTTTTGACGGCCATACTTGGAGGTTCATGGTAGCTAGTAAGAGATATAACTACCTATAACCCGGTAACAGCCCTATAAAGAGCTTCCTTTTAAGGGTTATAATAGCATAAGCTGGGTTTTGGAGTACTATACTTTAACACATTGTTATTGGTTCTGAGTTCCTATTAAAGCTACTTGTACCTAAACGTATATATACTTTTGTTCCAGGGTCTACTCCAAAGTCGGGTAAAGAGCCTCTTTCGAGGGTAACCCTAAACCCTGAACCCTAAACCCCAAAACCCTGAAACCTAAACCCTAAACCCTAAACCCTAAACCCTAAACCCTAAACCCTAAACCCCAAACTACTAACCCTAAACCCTAAACCTGGCTTGTCCGAGTGTGAGCGATTAAACCCTAAACCCTAAACCCTAAACCCTACAAGAGGCCATCGTCGGAGCCCTGACACAGGAGCGGTTCAAGATCGTCAGGGTGAAGAACAAGTTTGCCGACGAGAGCCTCAAAGCCGAGGCGCGCCTAGGAGTTTGATGGCTTTGTGAGGGTTTAAGGGTTTAGGGTTTAGGGTTTAGGGTTAGGGAGGTGCAGGACTAGCCTGAAGCAGCTTCCAGGTTCGAAAGGGAGCTTATAGGAATGGTTTAGTGGCTTTGTTCTTCGAGCGTGCATTGCATCTGGCTGGACCTCCTGAGGACGCAAGAGATGGAGAGAGTCACAGAGGCTAGCGTCAAGGTGTTAAGCATGTTTCTCAGTCGTCCTTTTTTCTTGCCTGCCTTTTGCTCTCTTCCTTCTTTCGCAGGAGCGCACGAACATCTTGGTCAACTTGTGGGTTGAGGGAAGGTGTGGCAAGCAGATCGGAGAGGTCCAGTTCCTGATGCAGGAGTACTTGACTGCCCCGCATCTGAAGAGTCAGGGGTTCAGAACTTTCTCCTTCCGTAGAAGCAGCAACAGCAGGCTGTAAAGTATTATACTGTAGTATCACTTCTGCACATGGGTTCTAAGCAGACGAGCTACTAGTGGATGAGGCTTTTGTCGGGTTGAATAGACATGTTTGGTCTGTGCGAGGTTATCAACAAGGGTGCCTGGGTAGTCAGGCTAGCTTTTCTTAGGGTTTTAGGGTTTAGGGTTTAGGATTTAGGGTCTAGGGTCGGGTTTATGGTTATGGGGTTTAGGGTTTGGGGTTTAGGGTTGAGGGTTTAGGGTTGTACGCGCATGTTGGGTTCAAGGGGATCAACAATGGTGGATACGTGTGCCTCTTATGTCCCGACTGTGCCTGCTTTCTCAGGACCCTACTTCCTTCATCCCCTACCAACCATCAGTAAGCTCTGGGGCAGCCCAGGCAAAGTCTTTGCAGCACATGTACTACGACGTGGCACGTGCCACGGATGCCCAGGAGCTTTTTGACAAGCCGATCTTCCGCTAGTGATTGCCCAGATGTCAGATGAAGGGTTTCTCGGTTTCTCAAACCCTAAAGACCCGAAACCCTAAACCCAAGTGTGGATCTCTTTATCATATTTCGGGTCCTTACTGCGGCCACGAGCAGACTTTGATTAGGGGGTTGCCAGAGGGTGGACATGATTTCTGACAAGCTCCCAGCTGGCCTGGGGAAATCGCAAGCGTTGAGAGAATGGTCGTATCTCGCACTAGAAGTATGGGCTTCCGGGTGTTCAGAGACTTTCTCGGTTTGTTCAGGGCTAAGGATTTATAATCTATTTGAGAAGATGATTCCCTACAACTGCATCTGTTGTTGTGTATTGTCGGTGGGGACCCAGCTTGCCCCTGAATCCTCCTAGGCCCTAAACCCTAAACCATAAGCAGGGGTTTAGGGTTAGGCCTCCCTAGGCATTATGTAGTATAAGAGTCGCTTGTACGCATCTTAAGGGAATTAGTAAGGAAAATACTTGGTTAACGCAGCTCTTTAAGGCCGTTTTAAGGGGATTTGTTTTTAGGGTTGTCGGAGTGTTGCAGGGTCCAGGGCTTAGAGCTGTAGAATTTGGGCTTGCGCGCCTTGGAGCGGCCACAAGCTCGGAAGCTCATGCGCCTTCCAGCAAACGCCCTGCGTGTTGCCTTGCAAGATGCCAGTCGAGAGAGTTTGCAGCCGATGCCGGTACCTGCTGCAGAAAAGCTGTGCAAGACAAAGCTGTCCAAGTCAATAAGGCCCCCTCCACTACCACAAGCTGAACCCTGAACCCTGAACCCTGAACCCTAAAACCCTAAATGCAAAGCTGGGTTCATGCCATCAGCTTTTCGCTAACCTGCACATGGCCGAGATCGGCTCAAGCCGGGTCGCTGAGCCAATGCCAACTCCCCCGTGTGGTTGGTCAAATTCCCTGTTCATGTGAGCCTTTGACTGATTTAGTTTAGGGTTTAGGGTTTTGGGTTGGGATATGTTCTGTTCACCATTTTACTAACAGTCTCCTGAATAGGGATTGTAGTACCCCCTACTATCATGCCTATTAAGGACTGTAGTATAAGGGGGAACCTCCCAAAGTGTAGAGATATTGCAGTTTAGTTCGCTTGGGTGCGGCAGGATGCAAGGGCAAGCCGATGTGGCGTCGACCTCCCGTCGCCCAGCCTCTCCAGCCTCCCACAAGCCTCCGCCTCCCAGCCTCCCCACTTCCCATCCGCAGAGAATACTGTAGCTTGTACGTAAGTGTGGATCACGGCCATGTGTGTGGAGCAGCAGGATAGGTGGAAGTGGCATCTACAGAGCCTGCAATTCTGGTGTGACTGAGGACTGCACTGAAAGCTGGCTTAGTGATGCTGGCTCTTCGCACGATGCGAAAGGCCCCCAGCACCGCTGCGACACATAAGAACTGTGCATGTAGTGTCCTTTCTGTTTATTTTTTCTCCGCCTTGCAGATAAGCAGCGACGGCGTGCTGCTTTATCTGTTCATCTTGGGTGCGGGCGCGGGGCTCGCCCTGGCACACCGGGAAACGCAGCTCGCGGAGACGGCGGCCTTGCAAGTCGAGAGTACCGAGCCCGATCCCACACCTGAGCACCTCGACTTGATACTGGTATCTGCCCTATGGTTTGTTGTAGGGTGTATCGGGTTTATAAAGTTTACATAGGGTTTTTCAGGGTTTGGAGGGTTTATAAGTCTTACAGGCTCCTTGATTTCTCAGCTGCGAAAGCGTTCCCCCTGAGGCCCACCACGTCGTCGGAGGTGATCAACCTGACCGCCCTGCTCTCCAATCTGACCTTCCCAAACAGCTCGGAACCTTTGCGCGTGAAGCTCGCGCCCGGAGCCCCTCGGCTTGCGCAGTGGGTTATAGGTCTTTTGCAGTTGCAAGTTCTGCAGGGGAAACTGCTCTGGAGTGAGGTCCATGATGGCGGAGATGAAGTTTTTGGGATTCCCGAGTCGGCAAGCCTGGAGCTCCAGGGTGAGCCAGGTACCCAAATCCGGAACTGGAACGTGGGTTCATCGGCTTCGTCTTCCAAGCTGACGGTCAGAGAGCTTGAGCTGCTTTCTGTGAAGATCTATGGGCCGGCGATCATGCACGAAGTGAAGGCCTCAAAAGTAGACGTACATACCGAACACGCAGTGGCCGTCACCAACTCCACTCTGAACAACTCTGACATCCACTCAGATTCCCTGAATGTCATCGGCTCAACACTAAATGACACGCGCTTGGTTACGGGATCCGGCGGCTCCTGGAGCCTGGAGAGCTGCACACTCAGCGGCCAATACAGATTGGATGCCTGGAGGGCAAAAGAGGTGAGAGTTCGCAACTCGCAGTTGGGCCCGTGTGAGGGAGCCTGTGTGGATTTCGGTGGTATGGACAATGCATCCTTGGCCTTGCACAGCTCCACCGTGCAGACCTCCATTGATTTCCGTGGGCGTGACAGCAAATTGGACCTGCGAGACCTGACGGTCCTCAATCTACGCACCGCGTTCGTCCAGGTGTCTCAAGGTCCCTCTCCTCAGTGCCGTGTGTGCTGTGCGTGCAGTAGGCCTCAAGCCTAGGCTGTCTCCAGAGTTGAGTTTAGGCATGTCCAGGCCCTGCTGGTAGGTTTCCTGAACCTGGAAGCTGCACGATCTGGTCGGTCCCTTCACGTGAGGAAGGAAGCTGCAGGCTCAGATTCGGTTTCATTGTTCCATTTCTTGCAGGCTCGCAGCTGGACATCGCCATGTATAACGTGACGTTGCGCAATGTGTGGAGTGCCGCAGAGGCCTTAGAGGACGGAGCCGGCTCGCTGTTGTGTTCAGACAAGTCGTGGGAATCAAGCCCGTCGTTGGGAAGCTAAGGTCAAGATTGCTACCAATGGCTGGAAGCTCTCCATGCACAAGGTGACAGTGACGAGAGCCATGCTCGCAGGCGTGAGCCTGCAATCCTTTGCCGGGGATGGTAGCACTCTGGAGCTCCACGACGTGAGGATGGAAGATGTGCTGGGCACGGCGGTGGTGATGGACGGCAACATCTCGGCCACAGTCACCAACACGATGTTCAAGCACTGCAACGCAGGGATCACCGCCAGAGATGCTGCTCTCCAGCTCACCGAGGTGGACATCCTTTGTTCAAGGGGGGCTTTTGTGTGGCCTCTGATAAGTTTTACTTATTTGTGGGTCAAGAGTTATATTCAATACAGCATCCTGATAAGCGCTCATACAACGAAGCCTCAGGTGGACATGCTGGGCGATGAGAAGCGGGGCGTCGGCTTGACCCTCACTTCCTCAAGCGTCCGGGCCCGCGACTTTCGAACAGTAGACTTGGCGGCCGGCCTGGTTCCCAGGTAGGCCTTTGGGACGTTTGAGTTTTTCCTTTTTTGGGTTAAAGAGGCCTTTGGGACCTTTTTTTAGATTTTCCCTTTAGGGTTGGGTTTTGGGCCATCCTAGGTTCTGAGTGGGCCAGACGTGGACGTAGACATGAAGGACGTGTTCTTGACAGATAATGCTGCTTGGCTTGTAAAGAATGCGAACTCATGCGTGACTTTTGCACTAGCCTCCTGCTTATGGACCTTCTCAAGCTGCCAACCTCTTACACGTCAGGCCTTGGGCATCGTGGCCACGAAATCCACAGGCAGCATCCATGGCCTGACCTATTTCAATGATGCCATGGACGAGCTTTGCGCAGGAGGTGGGGGCTGCCCCACGGTGGTGCACCGTGACCTCTTCATGCAGTACAACTTTCGAAGCTTCATGGCTGCATGCCTGGCCGGCTGCCTCGTGTCCACGCTCTCTGCCGTGCAGCTCTTGCCCGAAGCCTAGAAGACTTGCGAGTGATGCTTCAGGGCAGAACCCCCAACCCTATACCCTAAACTTTACCCCCACCCTATAAGGAAGCTGCTCTACACAGACCTCGGACTCTCCTGGTACACGGCCCTGTGGGCCTTGGGTTGCAGCTTTTGGCCTTGGGCCATCGTGGCCTCGGTCAAGGTCTGGCACGCAGCTGATCTTGGTGATGTGTAACAACCCTAAACCCTATAAACCCTGTAAACCTTATAAACCCTATTAATCCTGTTAACCCTATACATCTTTTAACCACGATTAACTCTACGGACCCTAAACTGTTAGGGGTTCGCGATGCTCAGGGTCTCCTGTTTGTGGTGGCCAGGTCCTGTTTGCCATCCGGGTGGCCGTGCACGAGCAGGAGGCGAAGCCACGCGGGGGTTTTGGAGATGAGTACCTGAGCCCTGAGATCAAAATGATGCTCGGCCGCTCTTGAAGAGTCTGAAGAAAATATAGCAGAGAACAAAAGGACACCGTGACACTGCATGGATTACGACCGATTATATCCTCTCCGTAGTCTGTATGTTCTGGGTTGCTGAGTCCCAGGATCAGGTGCTTTGTCTTGATCCTCCTTTGGTCCACCTGCGGCGTGGCCTACGTCTGTTTCGACGTGCTCCGAAATCGACTCTCGCGCGGCCTGTAGTGCTAGGGACTGGACTGGGATTGGGTTCCCTAAACCCTAAACCCTGAACCCTAAACCCTCAACCCTAAACCCTATAAACCTTTTCTTGACGCGACGAGTTTGCCGGGCCCACCGTACAGGTGCTGACCTTCTAGGTCCTAGCCAAGTGAGTGTAGGAATGTTTGAGGCTATTGTACCCTTATAGTCACGTCGCCTGCAGCCAGGCAAACCTACATCCACGGCCGCATATAGGGGGTTAGTTCACCTCATGTCGCCGCAGTAGCACGCGGAGGCGTGCAGAATCCTGCACGCCTCATCTGGGCTGCACCTGCTCGCAATACGAGCCGTCCTGAAGGGTGTCTGAACAACCATGTGACAAGGTAATGTAGCAGATTGGGCGGGAACTGAGCACTTTGAGAGACTTGGGAACGCTGCCAAGGGCACAGCCTCGTGGCCTTCGGTGACCTGAAGCGCAAACAGAAGCTGATGGACAAGCAGGACAGGCCAACTTCCGTAAGAATGAAGGTCTCGAAGGTTTTCGGCTAGGTTTTGGGCCAGGTCCTAGGTGCTTCAGAGTCTCCCCAGCAATGCGAAGTCTTGTTTTGCCACCCTCAAGCCCTCCTAATGCGGCAGCATGCAATTGGAAATCACACACGCTACATGCCCATCCCTTTCCCCTCCTTGTAACCGGTGACAGTGCCAGCAACCTGACACGAGTGCTGAAGGATGCATTGAAGAAGCGCCTGGACGACCCGACGGTTCGGGACAAGCTCCACACTCTACACAAGCAGCTCTTCGCGGCTGCGTATGCGCGTAAGGAGGCCCGGAAGACTTGCGGCGTGGCATGCGGGGCACGGCTTCATGGAAGGGAGAGCTAAATGGGATTGGATTTATCGCTGGAGGGCTGGGTTTCTGCCCTGCAGGACCAATCGAAGCAGATCTTCGAGGAGAGGGAATTTCTTCCTTTGCAATTCGGATCGACGTTTTGTGCGTTTCCACTTTCTTGCATGCTGGGCGGGCAGAGATTAGAAGGGTGCTGTGCAGCCGCATTTGTGGCTGGCCACCAGAAAGCCATATCAGCCACATCCGAAACATCCTCCCTGGCAGGAGATGAAAAGCTTGGCGGAGAAGGCTTTGCCTCCCCTGGCGAAGTGGTTCGTGGATCAGCGCACAGCCTACGAGGACTGGGTCCAGCCGGCAATGCTCTTGCTATTCTTTACAATCATCGAATAGTACTGTATTGTATGATGTTATACTACATTGAAATACAGCTTATATGCAAAGATCTATTTGATTAGTGGAATGTAATATTCTGTTCTGTATAAAGACATGCTACATATGCATATATATATATATACATATGTATGTACATAGATATTATAGGCACTATAATGAACATAGCTTGACAAAGATGCTTGAGAGGAAGAAGATGACGGCGCCCGCATGAGGAAGCTGAGCATGATCGAGACCGTGTCCCGGGAGGCGGCCGTTCAGCCAGCTCTCGAAGAGCATCACTGCGGCAGCCGAGAAGCTCGGGCTCAAGCTCGCAAGGGCGGTTTAGGGTTTGGGGTTTATAGGGTTTAGGGTTAGGGTTTAGGGTTTAGGGTTAGTAGTTTAGGGTTTAGGGTTTAGGGCGACTCGCAAGTAGCGGCAGAAGATGCGATGGTCTTCTAGTAGAGTGCGTGATGCTCTGCAGTACAGTGAGGGCAGCATACGCCAAGGAGTCGGCCGTGGATGCCTTATGTGCTTCGGCAAGCTGGCTGCGGGCGGACTTCAAGAGGTGCTCTGAGTTCAGGGTTTAGGGTTTAGGGCTTTAGGGTTTTGCACCTTTCTTCATATTTCTCCATCTTCTGCTTGCAAACTGCTGGCGAGGCAGCTGAGCGAGATGGTCCAGGGGCTCAACGACGTCAGCCGGGAGCAGCTAAGGAAGTTTGATGAGCAGCTCACTTTGGCCTCTGTGGCGGCAGAACATAGGGCTCAGGGTTTGGGAGTCCGGAAGCAAAACGCACCATACCCGAGAACTATCGGTTAAACCCTAAACCCTAAACCCCAATATAGGCACACCTAGTTGAGTCCATAGTTCACCAATCTCCCTACTAAGAGCGTAAGATGCCACTGCTTGTAGTTTCCGAGCTCCCCTTCGGGGTTCGGATCTCAAGCAGTTATAGGCCCAATCACTGAGGATTTCGGGTCTAGGGTTTAGGGTTTAATCTGAAGCTCAATCTTTCGAAGGTTCCTCTACAGCCTTCGTTGATCTAGCAACCTGCTTGGTTGGTTCTCACAGGCTTAGGAGCGCAGCCTAGGGAGTTAGGTCCCAGTCTCACGCAAGCCATGCTGTGCCCCGGAAAGGTCTGTGAGCGCGGGATCTCCAACCCTTCATCCTGTCTCTTTTTGTTTGTCTCCCTCTCGCGTTGTGTCTCAGTCTCCCTGCCTCTCTCTCCCTCCCTCACCTGCCGCAATTTCTCAGATCCTGGTTACTTGTTCCCCAACCCTAACCCTAAAAACTAAACCCCTCCCTCACTTGCCGTAGTTCCTCCAGTCAAAGGACAGCTCCTTGCACCAGTTGCAGCCCGAGCCTGGTGCGGAGTACGGCAAGCACTTGGGCCTGCTGGTGGCCCCAATCAAAAGCAAGGACGGCCGCAGGGTGCGGGCATTTGAAGCGTCCCAATTGTTTTGGTGTTTTTTGCAACCCTCAACCCCTCAACCCCTAAACCCCTAAACCCCCCAGGAGCGAGCCCTGGCAAAGATCCAGGGTGACTACGAGAAGGCGTTTGCTTGCACCGTTTGTTGCTCCAGCTTCCTTCCTCCTCCTTCAAGGGACTTCTCTGCCGTCCTACGGCTTCTGATTCCATAGCTGCCGCTCCTGTTGTTTTGCCGCTATTATCATTAACATTCCTGGTATCTTGATTTTGTTAAAGCCAGTGGCAAGATTCTTTCCAGTCTGCTGTCTTTTGGGATGGCCCAATGCCAAGAGGACGAGAAGAAGACAGAGCGGCCGTCAGCACGACGCTTTCCGGGGAATGGAAACGTGCAGTTTTGTCTAGCTCTGTGTTCCGCTCTTAGGCTAAGAGGTGACGAAGATCCCTTGTGAGCAGTTATGAAAGCAACCGGGATGTGACCTCAGGAGGGTCCCTAAACTTTAACAACCCTAAACCCTCGACCCTCCTAACCCTAGCCTGAACCCTAAACCCTAGACCCTGAATCCTAAACCCTAAAGCCTCGACCCTGAACACATTGAACCCTAAACCCAGAATCTCAGGATACGTCTGCGACTTCCTACGCGCCACGATCTATGCGGCAGACCCCTTCGCGCTTGCCTTTGCCTTTCAAGCCCTCGAGGCCGGAGAGTCCGCAGCTGCATGGGGTATGGGGTATGGGGTATGGGGTTTAGGGTTAGGGAGTTTAGGGTTTAAGAAGGTTTACTCTTAGGCTCTCAGCATCTTGGTTTTGCTGCTGCAAGGTGTGGATCGTCAGAAAGGTTTGGGGTTCGGGCTTCCCAGCAAAACTGCGTACGCGAGAGGAAGCAGCGGCTCCGGGTTCTAGCGGTTCTAACATGCTCACAGCACAAATAAGGCGGCTGGCTACAGTTATCTGCCGAGGTGGACTGCAAGCCCGGTCCACAGCTAAAGCCTCATCTATAAACCCTAAACCCTAAACCCTAAACCCTAAACCCTAAACCCTAAACCCTAAACCCTAAACCCTAAACCCTAAACCCTAAACCCTAAACCCTAAACCTCATCCCAGTCCAGAGCCCTGGCAAAAGGAGCGCTTCAAGATCGTCAGGGTGAAGAACAAGTTTGCCGATGAGAGCCTCAAGGGCGAGGCGCGCTTTGGGGTTCCATGGGTTTAGGGTTTAGGGTTTAGGGTTTAGGGTTTAGGGTTTAGGGTTTAGGGTTTAGGGTTTAGGGTTTAATTACAAGATGTATAGGAATGGTTTTTTTAGGGCTTATACATCCATGTTGGCACTTTTCTTAGAACGAGCACTGCGGCTGACAGACAGAGATAGAGAGAGAGAGAGAGAGAGTGGGGGCTTAGGGTCCAGAGCAGTGGAAATTCCAGTGCTATCGTCTGGGTGCAAAGCGTGCTTTTTTCTTGCCCAAGTTTCTTGCCTGCTCTCGCTCTCTTCCTTTTCTTCGCAGGAGCGCACGAACATCTTGGTCAACTTGTGGGTTGAGGGAGAGTGCGGCAAGCAGATCGGGGAGGTCCAGTTCCTGATGCAGGAGTACTTGACTGCACCGCATCTGAAGAGTCAGGGGTTCAGAACTTTCTCCCGGCTGTATAGTAGTACACTGTATTGTCACTTCTGGACATGGTCGTCAAGCACATGTTTGTGGGGTGGAGTAGACATGTTTGGTCTGTGCGAGGCTATCAACAAGGGCACCTGGGTAGTCAGGCTACCGTTTCTTTGGGAATGTTTCCAGTGCGCCCAGGTTGGGTTCAAGGGGGACAACAGTATCGGATACTTATGCCTCTGTGCAACTGGTGACTCTTTTCCCTCTTACTGTTGAGGTACCCTATATAATCCCTCAAAGGATATACATATATATATATATAGGACCCTCATTCCCTCATCCCTCCCAACCAGCAGTAAGCTCTGGGGCAGCCCAGGCAAAGTCGTTGCAGCACATGTACTACGACGTGGCACGTGCCACGGATGCCCAGGAGCTTTTTGACAAGCCGATCTTCCGCTAGCCGCTAGAGGCTGCCGGCACGCAACAGGTAGGAAACAACGTTATATGGCTAGAACTGATTGCGAGATCTGAGAAGACGAGAAAGGTCATTGGCTTGGTGTGGGGGGGGAAACATCCCAAACCCTAAATCCCTACACCCCTAACCCTAAATCCCACACACTAAGATTTCGATATACCATTCTCACAATCGTTTGCGCCCTAAACCGTAAACCCCAAACCCGAAACCCTGAGCCGGTTTGGGGTTTAGGGTTTCTCTTGAAAGAGACCTCTTAGAAAAGGTGTAGGGTTTAGGGTTTTAGGGTTTTAGGGTTTTAGGGGTTTAGGGTTTAGGGTTTAGGAAAAGGGTTTCGGCTCTTTTCAGGGCTCAGGGCTCGGGGGTGTTGCTGATGTTTATGGATGTTTGTGGCTTAGGCTTCAAGGTGTTGTTCAGCTTTTCTTTCTTGTCCACTCCTTACTTCGCCAGCAGTTGAACTTGAAGCTCTTTGGGTTCCCTTACTAAGTAGGAGAAATCCAGGTTGGCCTTCTTTCCCCTTTTCCTGGTTTTGTTCAGCTTTTCGTGTCCATTCCTAGTTGAACTTTAAACTTTTGGGGTTTCCTTACTTAGCAGGAACAATGAAGGTTGACCTTTTTTCCCCTTGGTCATTGGAGAAGTACGATTCGGAGGCCGCTGATGTGAAGATGTCTCTTGCCACGCCCAAACCTCGCAGGATAGAAGCTGACATGGTGACCAGATGTCCTCAGAGCCATGGTGCCTTTACACAACCTAGAGCCCCTAAAAAGAGCCTACAACCCAAACACTCAAACAGATGGCTTTCGTTTTCTGACTGAGCCCCGGAGCCCGCAAAAACGCGCGAATTACGAACACAAGCCGGCAGCCCAAGCATGGACAAGCTCGACCCAGCACCTCCTCGATCTGCTCCGACCCTTTCAACTTTTAACCCTGAAACTGCCCAAATTTGCCCCGTATCTGCTTCTTGAAGTTACTTGAAGTTGATCTCAGGGTTTAGGGTTTAGGGTTTAGGGTTTAGGGTTGATCTCATTGGCTTCTGAGCCATGACGTCGTCTTCATCGGACAGCTCAGACGACGAGGAAGAGGACGCGTCGGCACTCAGTTTGGTGCTCATGGGTTGAGACAGGGACTCTGAAGCTTTAGGATGTGCTTCCGCAATCAGAGCCTTGACGATTGCACCAGAAACCTGTGTGCCTGTTTGTTCTTTTTGTCCTCAGTTTTTTTTTGGGGTTTAGGGTTTGGGGTTTGGGGTTTAGGGTTTGGGGTTTAGGGCTTGCCAGTTCTTTCTGCCTCGGCAGCAGGAGAAGAAGCCTGCTGGAAAGGACGAGGAGAGAGCGCTCCAACCTGAACCCTCTAGGCAAGCCCTTACAGTTGCTTAAGGCGTTTGGGGTTTAGGGTTTAGGGTTTAGGGTTTAGGGTTTAGGGTTTAGGGTATATTCTAGGCAAGCCCTTGAATGGGTGGGGATGTTCCCCCTTGTACAAGCAGTCCTGAATAGAAATTCCAATGGGGTGTTAGTATACTGGGGAACATTTCAAGTTTAGGGTGCACTTGTATAGGCTGGGGTTTGGGGGGTCTTAGGCTTGTTGAGGTCCAGTTGCACAAGAGGTTTCTTGGATTTAGGGGGATCCACCACGACTCATATATAGGGTTCAGGTTTAGGGTTTAGGGTTTGGGGTTTGGGGTTTGGGGTTTGGGGTTTGGGGTTTAGGATTTAAGGTTTAGGGTTTAGGGTTGATTCAACAGGTATTTCAGGGATCCAGGGCAGAGGCCTTGGATAGCCTGGATGCAAAAGGGAGGAGGCGTGTTTGGGACATCCATTTCCGACCTCAAGCGCCACATGGTCCTTTCCCCAAGTAGTGTACCCCAAATAGACCCCCAAAAACCCTAAGCCTTATCATAGGAACCCCAAAGAGACGGCAATATCCCCAAAGAGGATACACCAAATATACCCCTAATACTTTAACCCTCATTATAGGCACCCCGAATCTACCCCCCCAATATCCCGCAAATACTTTAATCCTTTGTATAGGTACCCCAAATACTCTGATCCTGAATATAGGAACCCCCGCAAAGGCGCACCTCTATGCTCGGAAACTCCGGGTGGCAAAAAGGCCACTAAAACCCTAACGCTTGAAACCCTAGACCAAAAAACTCTACCCTTAAGCCCTCCTTAAGGCCTTGAGGACCCGTAAACCCCTAAGACCCTTAAACCCCTACGACCCTTAAATCCTTAAGCCACTAAACCCTCCTTGAGGCCACTCAACCCCCTATACACCCCAAAACCCTAACCACTAAACCGCCTAAATCCCTAAACTCCTAAACCCTAAACCCCTAAACCCCAAAGCCTAAAGCCCTAAACCCTAAACCCCAAACCCTAAACCCTAAACCCTAAACCCCAAACCCTAAACCCTAAACCCCTGAACCCCGAAGTCCCCTCTTAGACAGGACTCCTCCGGGTCGAGCTCCGGATCCTCCTCCGACTCGAGCCTCCATCTCGGTAAGTCTTGCTACAAGGTTTAGGGTTTTGGGGTTTGGAGTTTGGGGTTTAGGGGTTTGGGGTTTAGGGTTTAGGGTTTACGAGGTCCTAGTAGGGGGGCAGTTAGAAAATATGAGGATTGGGCAGGTTTGGTGTGCAAAGAAGCTCAGGGTCTAGGTATTGAGGTTTTCGAAAGTTTCAGGCCCGGGGCAGTTTAGGCTGCGGATGTGGGGTGTTCACCCTTATACTAACAACCAATAGGGGGTACTGCAGTCCCTATTAAGGACTGTTAGTATAAGGGTGAGCATGCCAACAGTAGATTTTAGCTGTTTTGGGGGCAGCGGATGGGCTCGGGAGTGCAAGGGGGACATCCCGGGCTTAGAGCGTTAAGGATTTGCAGAGCTATGTCGATCTTTGCTTTCTTTCTCTGGGTTTCGGAGTTGGCCCTCATCCTGGGGTTTAGGGTTTAGGGTTAAACTTAGGGTTTAGGGTTTAATTAGGGTTTAGGGTTTAGGGTTTAGGGTTTGGGGTTTAGGGTTTAGGGCCACAGGCTCTGACAAGAAGAAAAAGAAGAAGGACAAGAAAAAGGAGAAGAAGCCCCTTGACTCGCTGGGGGGGGGGGGGGGGGGCGGTTCTTTTCCCTCAGGGACTGGTCGCTTGCATCCCTCAGGCCTTAACCCTCAACTTACCCTAAACCCTAAACCCAAACCCTAAACCCTAAACCCTAAACCCTAAACCCTAAACCCTAAACCCTAAACCCTAAACCCTAAACCCTAAACCCTAAACCTCCAGTGTGGAGTTTCCAGAATGTACTTATCTTTCAGAAAGCCCTCGAAGGGAAGAGCCTTCGGGGTGGGAGGTCGGATCCCATGAGCTTAGGGTTTGGGGTTTAGGGTTTAGTGTTTGGGATTTAGGGTTTAGGGTTTGGGGTTTTGGGTTTAGGGTTTCGGGTTTCGGGTTTAGGGTTAGGGCTCCTACGTGTTCAGGGCTGGGGATGTTATGGCTCCTCTCTTGAGGTTACTACATGTTACTCTGGCCCGAAACCTTAAACCCTGAAACCCCCTAAGCCCTACATCCTAAACCCTAATTAAACCCTAAACCCCAAACCCTAAACCCTAAACCCTAGACGAAACCCTGTGGAGAGGCCCATCATTTGGCGTTTCTGTTCGGTACCCTGCCGCTGCCCTAAGCCCGGAAGCCTAACCCACCCGTGCCCCCCCCCTAACCCTAATCCCTAAACCCTAAACCCTAATCCCTAAGGTGCTTTAGGGTTTAGGGCTTAGGGCTTCGGGTTCAGGGATGCTTGTAACAAGTCTAGGGTTTAGGGTTTCCCTAGGCTCCAAGCATGGAAATAACAAGCAAGCCGAGCCTGAGGAAGAAGAAGGAGAAGAAAGCCAAGAAGGACAAGAAGGATAAGAAGAAGAAGGGAGAGAAGAAAGGAAAGAAGAAGAAGGCCCCTTGGCCGGCGAGGGGGTTGACTTATCCCTTCTGACAGCCAACTTGCTGTTGGGCTTGTTGGTTGTGGTTCCAGGCTTAGCCCTAAACCCTAAACCTTAGAGAAGCCCCCCGAGGACAAAAAGAAGAAGAAAAAGAAGCACGGCGGGCTGACAGAAGCGATGCGTGGATCCGTGTCGAACCAGTTCGGTAAGTACGGCACCTTGGTGGAACCTAAATGCCTTTGGGGGTTTGCGACTCGGCTTAGGGTTTAGGGTTTAGGCATAAGGTTCAGGGTTTGGGGTTTGGAGTTTTGGCTTTAGGGTTTTCCGGTTTAGGTTTGGGCCCCCATCCTGCGATCCGCAGTTAGCCGCATCGGATCCCGCTGGCAAGAAGGATGATGACAGGCCCTTTTGATGTTCTGGCGATGCACTGGCTGTATCACTTGTGTAGCCCACCCTAAACCCTAAGCTAGCCCCAAAAACTCCTAAAGCTTACCCCCGAGCACAAACCCTAAGCCTCAAACCCTAGACCCAAAACATTCTATAGCACAGCCCGCAAGGCATCATCAAGCAGGAGGACTACTTCGCAAAGAAGCCAGAGTTTATGCTCTGGGCACAGGACACGGATCCCTCCTTGGAAGCTTTCGGACCTTGGGGTTTGGGGCATGCCTGTTGAAAACAGGTAAAAAGGTTTAGAAATAAAGGCAGGGGACTTCGGGCTTAAGGTTTAGGGTTTAGGGTTTAGGGTTTAGGGTTTAGGGTTTAAGGTTGAGGGTTTAAGGTTCAGGGCTTAACTTAAGTTGAGGCTTCAAAGTTTAAGCTTGAAGGGCATTCAGAGCCTGGGTTCCTCCGACGCAGGACTTTCTTTCAGTTCCATGAACTCGCAGCTTGTTTTATAAGGGTTCAGGTTCAGGTTGCGGCGAAGATTGTGGCCAGAAGCAACAAAACACCAAAGCTAAGCACCATGGTAGGGTTTAGGGTTTAGGTTTTAGGGTTTAGTGTTTAGGGTTTAGCACCATGGAGGGTCTCGCCCATGAATGCCCACACACTTCTGCATCATCTAAGTGCTGACGTAGGA